AACTAGAGGGCGTGAGAATAGTCACGTGATCTCGATGACGCAACAATATTTTTTTTATTTTTACGTTACATACTACTGCGTTCAACCTCACTCAGGATCCACATGGTTACTTGCATAAATTATTTGAAATTGAGAAAGAGAATGGTGCATTAAAATGATGAAACGAAAACTCATTGTCGAAAATTTAAAGAATAGGCGTAGTCGAGTACCAATCGTACCCTCATACGTGTCTCAATCTACTCTCACCAACAATGTTCAATTTATTTATAAACGTTCGATAATCATGATATTTGGTAATTTAATAATGTCTACAATACATTAATGTCTTATACACACACACACATACAGTGTATATATATATATATGAGCACTGTAGCAACGTTTACTCTTAAAATCAAGAGAATGTGCTCAAACATGTATTTCACACGATTTCACTTTTAAACTTCATCCAAATAAAGCCCCCCAGCGGCATGTCTACGGACTTACGACGCTAGAAACCAGGTTTCGATACCCGTGGTGGGCAGAGCACAGATATCCCTCGAGTAGCTTTGCGCTTAACAACAATCAAACCAAAATGAAAAAACTCTAAAAACTCCTACTTTACTCAAAATCATCTTATTCTTTGGATAACTGCTTTTTCTAATTAATGGTATAGTTCAGCTAAGTACTTTGTTAAAATAAATCAACTTATTTATATTGTAGGAACATAGTTTTGTATGTTAAGCTGAACCGCTATAATCCCTTTGAATGAAACCACTTTAAAAAAGCTCGTACATCAAACTCAAATAAAAGATATTACCTTTTGTTTAAAATCCGTTTTATTATATTATTAAGAACCTTTTATAAATAAGAGAATGTTGTAAGTATATTTTAATTTAAGTCAGTTTGCTAGATGGAGTTTGTCATTACGTCACGATAACACAACATCTAGAAGCCACACATAAAAAGTAGAAAACGAGTAATGATATAAAAATCTAATTTTGATCATATTTGCCACAAAGGTTGGGTGTCCTCCAAAGACCAACTTAATTTTTGATGAATGTGCTCAAAGGGCAAGGTCACACTGAAGGTCAACAATTTTCCTTATAATTGTAAAAAAGCCCGACTTTGAAAAATTGTAAAACAAACCAAGAATACTTTATATATATTAGGCTGGTTACTACGAAAGTTGATTGTGACTTTTTGCAGCTTAAAATATATTTGTCAGTATCTCCTTCACTCCACTATTCACAAATATTTTATATGAAAGCATACTATAAAATGTTACACAAAATACTTTTACTCAAATTTATTTGTAAAATGTTTAGAATTCTTTTCAAAATTGTATCAAGCAAATAGGATTTTAGTGCCCTCCTCTTTGCAAAATGTTATGACGCCAACTGTAACATACCGTGCACGTGTTTATACTGAAATACGGCCTAGTACGACGTATTATTTTAAAATCTCAAAGAGTTGAAGTTTTATAAATTTCTTTAACGTGAAGGCAATTTGTAGAACTGTAAATTGTCTATACCAACATTTTCTAGTTTAAGAATTATTGACTTAATATATGAATAATATCTGTTAAAAATTTTAGTATTTTCACATCACATACTTACGAGTTTCGACGAATGCCATCATTTCTCAATACCAACTTATATGAAATATAAAAGGAAGCCAAAATCTTTTACAATTTCAATACATACAAAGTTTTTATTTAAAAAACTTTACAGTACAAGTTAAATAACAAAATCACAGCACTATCAAATACACACATACTAGCCCAATAAAATATACCCCCCTATGTACCAAAGTTGACAGTGACGAAAGATGGGTTACCTTTTTACCTAACGATTTTTTCACGTACTACATTACTGATACATTATTCTTACTATTGTTAGTAATGGAAAAACTGTTGTTTGAACAACAAAAAATATTATTTACAATCGCAAGTGTAGTTATTTTTGTTAAAGCAATAAAACCACTGGTCACGATGAAAATGACCAGAAGTGTGTGCCCCCTACAAAATCAGCATATTTCAACTTCCATCTTAATCAAAATTACACTGAGCACTACTTGGTTGAAACCATAGTTAACAAAACTGACATGAACAAATAGTAGAAAAACAAACCTTATCTCTTATCTTTAAGAGAAACTAAAATGAAACAAATATTTAAGTTATTGATATGGAGAAACAAAACTTCAACTGTCACAATTTCAGTCTTTAAGTACAGAACTTGTAAAAGGGATCATAAAAAGAAGCACAAAGAAATATTAAGCCTACAGTTTCATGTTCTAACCACTAAATTGTATCATTATATTTACTCAAAATTTATTTTCACTAATCTATGTGATATTTTAAAAATATATTTTATTTGAGAAAAAAGAGAACTTAAGTTATCATATTACAGTATTTGGCAGTTGGATACACAATTTTTTAAAAACACATTCAAAAGTAAAAATCTGATGGAGGCTCATCCAAGTCACACAAGTTCATGGTATTCTTAGCTTGCATCAGTCCTTGCATCTATCTTTCCTAACTGTGCCATGTGATCAAATATTCAGATAGATCTCAATATATTTATTCTCGTCTCATGTATAACGTTCATATAAAATGTCAGAACACTAATTAAACTTAGATATCCAACATTGTCTTTAATAACATTTCTGATTATTTTTGAAACTACACTAACAATAACTTTAAGAAGAAATAACAGCAACAACTTCACAGGCACAAAAATGATATGCAACAATAATTACTTTATACTCTGAATTATCAATCAATTTATACATGATTAACTTTAACTGTAGTTTCTGTGGTATATACAAAAATAAATTGAGAAGCACAAAACAGAACCAATAACAACTTGCTACATTTAGTATGCAACAAGTCACAGTTTGTTATCTATACGTTGCAACTAATCACTTAATTGTGGGCTGGTTCAATACATAAATTCACACACACACAGCTACTCACATAAAATATAAAAGAGCCTGTTCTATTTTCATAAATCAGAGAAACTATTTCAACTTAATGTGGTAAAAAGAATTTCAACTATTACTGATATCACAATGAAAATGTTTGAATACATGAAAGATTAATAGACTACAATGAATTTATACAATTAACTAGTGTTAGTAGGAACCCATTAACGTCTATATCAATGTTATGATTTTCTAAATTAGCTGCCTTGAAGTGTGTGATCCCACATAAAAACATGTTGTGAAACACTTCATAAAACATGTAAAATAATCATTTTTAAGTGTAATAAAAAAAGAGCCACATGTCACAATATTTTACCAAAGCCTTTTAAATTATATTACATTTTTTTATTATTTATTTCAAGTGATTCCTAATGTTTCATAATTAAGAAGTTAAGGACCTAACTTAAATCATACCTAATTTTACCACTCTATCCTATAAAACTATATTTATTAATATTCGTTCACTAAAAATTCTGTTATTCAGTTAAAAATAAACTAAAAACTATTATTTGTGTTGTTTAGATTATTTTAGTAATTTTTAAAATAGGCTTCATTAACACAAATTCTAGCACACTGCAATTCTTTCACATTAAATTATATAAATGAACATTTAAATTACAAAGTATATTTACAAAAGCTAAGTTAAACTTGTTTTAAATAAAGCATATGCACATATGCAATCAGAAAAAAGCACACACATTTTCCCTTTCCAACACCATCCTACAAAATGAAAATATTATAAAACAATATTTATCACAGTTTTGTAGTATTTATTTGTAGCTGCCAATTTTCGACACAATAAGAACTGAACCAATCACAACTGTAGCTAATTTTTTCAATCAAACTGTATGAAGAGTAATTTGTCTGTGACCAATTTCTTAAAATTCTTTAATAAAATTGCTTATATTTGCAATTTTATACTTTGGGCTCTGTAAGAACTACTGTAAATTCTTATGTGAATGTGTTTTTTTTTTGTTTACCTTACCTTACTGATAAGGTGCCACTACTCTCTGACTGGACAAAAGAAATTTACCACTTGAAATCCCCCCCCCCCCACCACAAACAAAATTTAAGAATGAGACCTGTTTATCTGACACTACTCATTACTAAAAAGTATCTTGAAAAAGTCTGACATAAGATTAGGTCCTCAACTTTCCCAGTGCAACTGTAAGTGCTGTAGTAATTCAATCTTTACAATTCTTTATGGTACATCTATCAAGCAAACCTTTTTACTTAGTCAGTGGTTACACCTTTTAGTTAACCACATACCAATACCATACACAATTAAGGAGGAGAAAAATCTGAGCATAATAGATTTGGCACTTTTTAAAGTAGGTGTTTTTCTAGTATGTGTGTGAGCAAACTTTATTAATGGAAAAACCCAATAAATAATCCTAGAATTCAAATATTTGTTTTATGCTTGAAGGTCACCGAATACTAACACATTACAACATAACAGCCACATGCTACTTTTCTATATTCATCTTGATAATAACATTTGATACATTTGAATATTAAAAAATAAAAGTTGATTTAAAGACACAAAGCAACTGAAAACCAGCTAGAAAAATAAAATGTTCACTGAAACACAATGCCCACCTGAAACGTATGACTATTATATAAACAACTTACATTAAACATTCTAAAAATGTCTCTCTCTCCATTTGGAAAATGCATTCCATCCATAAATTTGTACGGGTACAAGCTCAATCTATCTTAAAGCTTTCCCTTACATATGGTCACATATTCTTTTTAATTACAACAACATTTGCACAAAACACTAAACCTAATGTTCAAACACTGTTGGACACTTTCCAAAAAAATAAGTAGTGAATCCAGAAACATTTATATTTCTTATCACTGTTCTATCTAGGCTAATTAGAACCAATGAAGTCAGAAACTTCAGTTCTTGGCTGGTTGTGATGCAAGATTTATCATCCAATACAAATGGGTATGTTTCATATAACAATCTATGTCATGAAGAATGAGTCAACACAATGAATTTTGCTACAACATTTAAACCAACACACAAAAGTTTTGTAGTACATATATGAAAGTATCCAAATTTTATCAACTTCAGGGACTCTGTCATGTAAACACAAAATGTATTCATTAGTCAGAAATAAAGTATGGAAACATGCAGTTCAAACAATACAAGCCACATAAAGAATCAGCAGGACAAAGATACTCCTACTACCTATTATCTTATGAAACAAAATTTAAGTTTGACAAGTGGATAGACATTTTCCCAAATAAGGGGTTTTCACATTCTCTGACCTTTTAAGAGAAAAATAAGTTTTCAGAAACTGACATTCTTAAAAGAAATTCACTAAATTAATATATATAACAAACTATCAGATCTTTCAATACTTTATTGCAAAACAAAGATTAGCAAACAGTTTCATTACACCTACAACTGACTTTCAGCTGACTTGGTCTTCTAGATGTATATACAAACACAGTAACTTAACATGGATATTCACTGAAATGACCCATCCCTCAAGTTTGATATTGACACTCAAAATGTAGAACCATCAATAAAATCTACAACTGACACATGGATGGAGCATTTCCAAACATTTTCACGTGATATCAAACAGTTAACTTTGCTACTTTGACTGTTGAGTCGTCAATGCTTGAGGAACTCCATTGACAGTCTTGGACTTTAATACTCCATCTTCATAAGCTGTCACTGTCTCTACACCATTGTCTATAACCCTATAGAAAAGAATGACAATAAATATAGTGTGAACATGCACTTTACCAAAATATAATAGAACATAAAATCCACGTACTTGGAATCAACTGAATTTTTTTTTTCAACTTATTTATAGGTTACCTAGGAAGGTGGATAAATTATAGTAGTTTTGGTATTTTCTCTTCTAATCCATTATACTGTTTTTGTGTTCTACAATGCATATTTGAAAGTTAAATTAATTTTTTTGGGGACATCTAAATATGTGAGACTCAATAAGACTTTGGAAAGAATGTTAAATAAAAGCACCTCAAGTATGCAGTGACAACAAAAAAAATCCTCATTTCTTTTATGTTTTATTTATTGTTATAATGATTTTAACAAAAATGTAAAAATTATAAACTTCTGAACTTGGCTTAAAATGCCTCAAATTACACTAGCTTGAGTGCCAGTGTAAAATATTACACTAGATCATGTGTCATTTAGATTAACTCTAATGTTTTCCCACTGTGATTTATTGCTTTTGACAGGATGAATACTACTTCAGTGTAACAAGATATACATAAAATTACAAAGAAAACAGTAGTGAAAAGGGTTAACAGTTGAATCTATTAAGATAAGTAATTTGGAGCTTTCTGATCACTGCTGCAGTGCAACTAAATTAACTACTTTCAATGTTTTTAAAGTATTTGTTTCTTTTCAAATCTATATATTAAAAACCTAGAAATATTTTCAGATAAGAAAGTCCAAAATGCAAACATTATTTCTTGGTTTTACATTACAAAAAAAAAAAATTGTAGTTTAACCCATTAACTGTGGCAGGAGCAGCTCAGTTGCCATTTTCTGACTCGCAGATAAAACTGAGTTGCCATCAATCACAATAAAATGGTAATTTTCGTCATTCACATAGAGTTATAGTTATATATGTGCAACTGACGGATATTTTGTCATTCGTAGCTGAGCCACAGAACTTCAATGATGGTAATATCAGTCATCCGCAGTTAATGGGTTAATAGTACCAAAACACATACAAGACATTAGATTTGGTTCTGCAAGATTAAAAAAAAAAGTTCTTGTTCAAAAGTTCATAAATTAAGCTGATGGTTATTATCAGATCTATTTAGTTTCAAGAATGATCAAAACAGAGATTTAATGGTGGTCTTTCTTTGATCTGTCATCATTACATCAGGAAAATAAAGTACATTGCACGAGTTAACTCACTTTAATCCATTCTTCAGTTAGTACAAACTTGCATGTAATTTTGAATCTTTATTGTTTCTTGAAATAAAGAAAAAAAAAAAAAAAACTTTCCATGTCTCTTCAATCTAACGTTATTAAATGTTATTAACGTGTGCGAGAGTTTTAAAGCTTCATTAGACCATGCAAAAATGAAATTAGAAGTAGAAAAGTATGGAAGATATTGCCATATGTGCACGGGAAGCTTTTTCAGCTTCATTAAACTGTGTAAAAACGAAATGGGAAGTAGAGGAGTACATACAATGTCACCATATTCATAATAGAAGATGAGTGAAAGTCAAATCATTTGACTCAAAGTGTCTTTTGCACTAGAGGTGATTGGTGGGTATTGTATCTTGTGTAATAAGTTTAACCCTCTTAAGTTTAACTTCACAGTCATTAAGGTGCCCCACCACACAAAATTCGTTTGCCACCCAAATTGAATATTGTACTCATTAATGAAAGCAACTGTGATGTTATGTACTGCACATATACCTGCATGTACCAAGAACAATTTATTTGCAAAGCAACAAAGGTGGTAATATTGCAATATAGGAGCAGGTTTAGTGAAAATGATGGATGTTGCTGGGGGGCAAACACATCCACGAGTAACTCGTCTTACAGTTAAAATATGTGGCAAATGGTTTGTAACAGTAACACAAAATAATTACGTCACAGGACTGAAGTAATGCAAAGATTAGTGGTGGTTGCCCAAGAGAAACAGCCTCATGTACTGATTTTCATAAATTACAAGTTAATAACAGTCTGTGAAGAGGATCAGGTTACTAAATGGGGTCTGAAGAGGGTAAGGTAAGACATAGGATTACATCTAAAATGGCATATCAAGTTTAGATAACCAGAAACAGCTACAAGTTTAGAATTTCAGAATGGATTTTCATGCAATTAGTGGATTACTGGGGAAAAAAATCCTTGGGTCACCTTGTGAAAATATCCTTTTACTGGGTGAAAAAAGCATCATGGGAACTCCGACATATCTCACTTAAAGGTGTGTAAATCAAGGTTATGCATTACAACTACTTTAATGCTGCAGGTATAGGAAAGAAAACATTTAATTTTTCAAAATAACAGCAATGAAAGGCAGTCGAGTCTGATAAAGAAATTAAGCCTACTGAAAAAATTGCTAATACTAGAATAAAATATTTCTATTTGAAATTTGTGACTAATGTTGTAACTAAGTTTAGTCTGTTTGACTCAAACTCAGAGAAAATATATACCAAAGATAAAAAAATAGACAGGAATTGCTTATTTTAATATTCGAAACCAATAATATTAATGTACTACCTGATGTATAAATTAACACAGGTGCCGAGATGACAACTGTTGGATATTACACATTCTATAAGGTAATGTTCAAAAAACAATCATCATTATCCTTGTATTACTAATATGACATGTTCTACAAACAAGTAAATATAAATGTCTTTAACATAACATAAAACATAATGTAACATTCTGGGATAACCTGGGACCTATTGGTCCATCTCAGCTGTTCCATCCTCTAAACTAAATTAAAATATTAATTAAAAAAATCTTAAAGACAGCCCTTATCATTGGTTCTATCTAATTACTAAAACTTACTTTTTCTTTTCTATCTTTTTTCCATTTACAAATCGTGTGGATGTGGTTGTCCTCCTAACTCCTGTTTTTGGTGGACCATCATTAAAACTAGTGCTGAACCTGTGTTCCAAACAAACATTAAAAGTTTTCTCCAAAAAGTCAGCAAAAATTAGCTCAAACTAAGAAATTAACAGTAGATATAGAAATTAGTCTCTCCATATAATGTAAAATAAAAATAAAATTGAGATATTTAATAAAAGTTCAGATTGAGAACATACTTTGAAACAAATACAAATATGATGTAACCAGTCTTTACATTAGAGACCTTCTCTATGTGTGTATTTACACACAACACACATTTTTTTTCCTCAATTAAGCAAAGAATCTTATAATATCATGTTTATGATCTTAGATAACATCCAGGACAAAAAAAGTAATATTTTTTGCTCCAAAGCTATCTCTAGTATATAAAATCTCCAGCTTTTCTTAGCTATTGTACCCACATTACCAATGTATTGTCACAGGAGCACAACTGATTAAAGTATTATTAAATGTATGCATGTTTCTTTTTCCTTATTAATTTTCTTTTTTTACTACTATATTCATCAGATCATAGTATAGCCCTTGTAAGCTGTGTAACAAGAAGCTTGGAACTGAAAAAAGTAGAAATGATATATCAATAATGTAGATATTTTCATGATTAATCAATTACAAACGTAAAAGACTGTTACGGTGTGAACACCTTTTTCAAGCTGGCAAAGCATGTTTATACTTGTAATACAACTTTAGTATTAGGCATGTTACATTTTTTAACACTGCATTTTTTTATCTAGTCCTTTACGGAATTTCAAGAATTAGTAGATAGTATAATAATAGTATTGTTATAGTATGGCAAACACAGTGTGATTGGAATACTATTATTATACTATTGTCATATTACAAGTATAATTAAAGGAAGCAGATGTTGGAAACAACTTACTAGTTTTAATAAATTAGCTGAAAAAGGAGTGTATGCTTACCATTATCAAGCATTACATTAAAATGTTCATTTCATTGTGAATGAATAGAGAAGATAATTTAACTTATTAATAGAGTGGATGATGCATGTTGAAGTAAACAAAAAAGAGGTTACAAAAGCTAAAGTTAATTAAAAAACTAACTAGGAAAGAAACTTGAGTCTGATAGTCTTTTGTGCCTGTGTGAACACCAAAAATGAATGTTGTGAAGAATACAATCTCTGAAAATTGTTAGTGGTAATATTATGGAGGACGACCTAATCAAAAAATTAAATAACTAATGGTTTAAATATTGTTAGGTTAGAGGTTTAAAGAAGAGTAAAACCTTAAACTGTTGTTAAACTAGAGAAAAATACAATTTCTAAAACTTAAAAATCTTCCTAAGGCTTTAGTAAGATTGGTAACTTCATACTAATTTTTTTCAATATATATATATATTTTATATTATTAACTGATGCCATTCCCTAAAACTGTCAGGTACAAAGTAAACCTTTATGTTCTAAAATACAAAAAACTTAAGTTCTTTCATTGAAATACCAGTTATTCTATTTCATATTCTACAATAGATTGCGGTTTAGGAAATTTCTGACTATGAACTGGTACCTGTAACTTTACTACAGATAAAAACTAGTTAACACAAGTGTTTCTTACCCATGACTGAGACTTGGACTATTACAGAGATCAGGAAAAGCTCCAAACCTAAACCCAAATCTTGGCAAACCCATAAGAGCATCTTCTCTTCTATGAATAGCATCTACATCAAAACAAATCAATAAATCACAAATTATTACAAATTTACAATAAAAAATCAATATTACAGGACCTGTTATTAAATAAAATAAAAGTGTTAACACAGTCTCCACATCACAAGTTTGAAAGCAATATTTTTGAATGTACTGAGAACAGCTCTTTCTTTTACACTTGGCTTGGACTTTGATATAGAATTCAATCCCATTAGTAATTAGAATTTGAAAAGTTAAAAAGTGACAATGTAAAAGTTATTCCATTATATTAACACCTAGTTTGTGAGTCAGGGAGATACGTTTGGTGTGTTAACTCCCAAACAAAACTTTCCAGTACTTTTTTTTTTATTAATTCTGAATAGATTTGAACTATGCAATATCTCGATTCTGAATTGCCCAGAAGCATGGCCAAATTCACAATGGTTTCCAGACTATGAAGGAGTAAAATACATACTTCCATCTAAAATTTTACACAATACTTGGTAGTGGCTGCACATGTTGTACAATATAAGATCTGGTTCTTTAGCTCTATTAAGCAGTTTTCTACATGGTTTTCACAAATTCTGTCAACTGACATGACTAAGCAAGGCTCAATGAAGCTTATTTGCCACTGTAAAGTGTTCAAGTGTGGCAACAGCCAGAACATTAACACTTTTATTTTGTCCAAGAGGAGCAGAGTCTGTTAAAATATGCATCTTCATCACCAAATACTACAGAGAGACAAGTTCTTCTGGCAAGTGTGGTTTTTCTGAGTTACATATCAAACCCTTTATCAGAGTACAATTTTGTTTGGTTCTAACATGAATACAGAAAACTGTGATACCCCTTTGTAACCCAACCAATCCCCCAAATTTGGTGTTAGGAAGAAACTGCACTTTCAGTAATCAAGATACACTAGTAGCTTACATAAAAAACGCCATATAGAGTTTGAAATAAGTATTAAACATCTTACAGTGTACACACAGTAGATCAATACACACACAGAGATGTGGTGGAATAGTGTAAGTTAAGGATGAGTTTGTCACGTATATCAGAAAACTTGTGTGCAGAACTAAAGTATGACTAATCTAAACAAACAATACTCTACTTTCACATTATTTTACATATTGTTTTAAATGCTATAAACTAATTTTATGATTTCGTATC